TAGACATAATTGAATTTATAATTTGTCGCTATCACTAACTCAAGTTGTATAGATAAAAGGACTTAATGACCTTAACCATTTCCTCTCGTGGAAAAATGACATGAATGAAATTAATCTATACTTTGTCATGCCATCGGACATCTTTGAAAAATTTCTCCCTCAAAAATACAAGACAGCCAAAGACCAAAATTGTCAGAAAATTCCGAAATGGATTAATAATATAACCCAATATGCACTAGAGATCAACGTGGGTTCAGGACAGTATGATTTGAAACGATCTAGTGATACGATGTTGGGAGACAATGAAAGTGGGGAATCGTCAGAGAAAAGAATGAATAAAAAAGATATGAAAAAACAAAAAACGAAAAAGTAGATAATATAGTTATGTTACTTTTTATATCACATTTTAATTCGTGGGTTGAGCCTTATGATAATTCAAAATTTATTCTTTACGGGTTGAACACAAAAATAACGAAAATTTCCAAGACTGCTGATCAATCCAGTTCAGGTGTGATGGTTCTAAAGTGACCTTAGACTAAGAAAATTAACTCTGTGTATTTTTATATTCTATCCTGTAATATGCTTTTATTTTTTTCAGTATCAATAAAGCTGACTCTAGTGGCTCAATTTCGCATATATAATTGCGTTTACTTTTGCATATATATTTCTGGAATTTATTCCAATGTTCACAGTTTTTGTATCATGTGACTTATTATATGTAATGTTATTAAGTGGAAATAAATATAGATGTCTATGATTCTGATGATATAAGAACGACGGTGTCTACCCCATAGGTTTGGTTTTATATTTATTTCTCTTATATTTCTTCGATTTTTAGTTAATAAAGCTATACATATAAATATCTGAAAAAAATAAGCTAATTAATTGCTGTACGTAGTGGCCTTGCCAGCTCCGTTGAGAATAGTTGCATCGGAATTATTCGCCTCTAGATATTTACACACCTCTTCATAGTCAAATATCGCTTTCACATCTTGCGTATTCTTATTTATGATAGTTATCCCGGTTTAAAAATTGCATATACTGTTTAGGATTATTGCTGAATCTACCTTGAGTTTTTCAACTGTTATTTTTTAGATTTGCGAGACATACCTTATGTGACGTATTATATCAAAGTATTGAGGCAACATTCAAAATTTTTTTCTTGGCATTTTTCTGAGACATTATGTTCCGCAAAATTTAATCACGTGAATTTAACTTTGTACCTTGCACAATTTGAATGAATGCGCTTTTTATATAAAGTAATGTCGAACACTCAATCCAAAAACGATTCATTGAAGGAGTTAAATTCCAAACTTGTAGCCGAGATTGCCAAGCTTAGAAAGGAGAATGCAAAGTTGAAGCAGATTATTGAGGAGAATACAAAGCGCGATGTTAGAGTTGAGGAACTAGAGCAAAAGAATACAGAGCTTGAGGCCAGACTCGCGATATTGGAACAGGGTGTTACTGGGGTAACTGGACAGTCACAGAATAATGATATTCCAGAAATAACGGTATCAGTTGTTGATGTATCCGATTCCGTAGTAGAGAATCTCAATAATAAAGTTGGACGAGCAGTTACCTGTGATAATGTACCTAATGATAATACCAACAACAAGTCATCAGAAAATAAGGAAAAGAAACTTCAAGCTCAAGATCTCAACTTGGTTACTCAACCATGCAATAGTGCAACATCCGAAGCATCAGCTACAAATATTCCGGAATCCTCTCATTCAGATAGTAATGAAATTATTTCCCAAGACGAAACTGGTAAGATACGTAAGAAAACGGGAGTAGAACATAAAAAAGGTGAGGGATTAGACAAGCTTAAACATGAATTGTTCGTCTCGGAAACATCACAGGAACCATCAATAGAACAAAATCTTGTGAACGAAATTTCTGAGACATTATGTCCTGGAAAAATTACCTTTGATAACATATCTAGCATTGATGAGGCCTCTCAACATTTAGCCCAGTTATGTAATAAAGCTTTTGATGCTGAAGATAAAGCAAATAGAGCTAATCAGGAAGAAATTTTATGTTGGTATCTCTATGCGAAGGATTTCAGAATTCAGCTCAATGGAATTATAGAAAATAGTGAAGGTAAATTCGGTGAAAAGAAGGCAAGAAGTTTGCTGTATGATTCAATTACAAAACAGCTTAATTTAATTCGCAAACAAAGATCTCAAGAATTAGGGTTACAACTTCGAGATATATCACGAGATAGTTTACGCAAGAAAACTCAGAGAGCTGAGAAAGTATATAAATTTTTCGAACAAGTGGATATAGATAAAATCAGATATATTAAATCCTACAGTGCAACTTCTATTTCAGAGCTTACTAATGAGCAAATTCAAGAGATTATAGATTATGGAATATCTTTGGAAAAAATACCTCCCGAAACGGATTATGTGACAGAAATTTCCGAGACATTATGTCCCGGAAAAAATTTACCTAATAATACACCGATTCCTAGGACTAATCCAAATAAGATGGAATGTCTTTATCAATATGCTGTTGATAATGACCTCGATCCCGAAAAATTTTCGGTTATTACTAAGGCTGAGAAAGATAGGTGGATCATGGGATGTTTTCGCGATGACCTAGAAAGAGATGTACGCTTCTATCGTGGTGGAATAGAGAGTAAGGAAGATCCTAGAAAATATCGAAAATTTTTAACAGATCGGGATAGGCTAATCGGAGAAGAGTTATTACGTCGCAGTATTCTAAAGAGTGGTTTAAGTACTGCATGGCTAGACGATCTGATGAAAGAATGGGAAGAAATCCATAGCCAATTCGTACAAATTTTTAGCCAGACATAACATAGCGAGTTCCATCAAAGAATACATAAAAATGATTAGGTTTTCGTCTGCTATTTTTAGATTTACGAGACATATCTTATGTATATATTAATATGGACAAACGACTTTAATTTTTTGCAAAAGTGATTGTAACTCGCATTAACGACATCAAAAATTATGATCTCATAGGATCTTATTTTATTGATATAAAAACGTTGCTAAAACAACGATATATAAATAAAAAATTATATAGATTGGTGGAATTTACATTTGATCTAACATATCTTGTCGTTTACCAGAATTCGCATAATCATTGTCATCATTTTCCTCATCCCATTCTAATTTTTCTCTCGAAAGATTTTCCAAGTCTCTACCATTATCAACGTTATAGTCATCGTCTTCTAAGGAGGGATTATAGGTCGTCAAATTATCTGATTTAATGCATAGAATACACAGGTAAAATGAGAGTTAGTCTTGCTAATTTCACTAATATATGAAGAGCATTTTTTAACGAAGACACTTACCAAAACTATCTTTCTTATTTTTGCGATTGGTTTTAGATGATTTTGGTCTAGAAGATTTTTGTTTGAACGATGTTGAGTTATTAGTATTGTTAGTATTAGAATCGCTAACACTGGGAGCATTAGAATCGCCAACATTGGGAGCATTAGAATTATTGGTATTACTCATTTTGCGCTTCTAAATATAAAATTCATAATTAGTAGAATATCACTTTCTTTTTTGTAACGTAAATGCCCAATCTACATTACCTTAGAAATAAGTTGCGAGTATTTTTTGAAAAATAAATAAATATATAATAGCGATGTTATTGCTAACCCACCTCACAAATCCGGTTTATTTATATGATTTCATTCGCTAAATCTGAGAACCTGTTAGAAGAAAAAAATACATGATTAGTAATTACGTTACTCCAACCATTTCTCGGATCTTTCTTCGTAAGGCAGGTCTATTAAGTCATGGGTGTCAAGAACTAAATATATTTCGCCTTTTAT